CATATATAAATAAATGGAAAATAAAAATGCTCAAATAATCGTTTGACCTGATGTTGACAATCAATATGAACATTTCTCAAACCTCCCTTTACTGACCATTTGATGAAAGCCAAAAAAAAAAATGTGATGAATGAAGAATAAACCCCAACCTGTTTGTTGTTCAGTGTGTTTGATTCTGCAGGGTTCTGGATCTCTCATCTTCTCTCTGTCCTCTTTAATAAACTCAGTCTTTGCAGATTTCAGCTCTTCCTGATGCTCCGATGCTCGTCTGCACTTGTAAACTGATGGGAATATTCCAGCATTTATTGCTGAACTGCTGGGGGCGGAGCTTCACTGAGGATGTGAGTGATGTGGGCGGAGCTTCACTGAGGACGTGAGCGATGTGGGAGGAGCTTCATTGATGATGTAATTGCAGTGGGAGGAACTGATCTACCAAAATCAAAAATATAACAGTTACCGAGTTTGTTTTTATACCAGTTGATGACAGAATATAAATATTGTAATGGAATTCTTCCAAATATAAATAATGGTGGGAAAAACTAGTGATGTGACGTTTGGCACAGAGGCTTCGGAGCTTGTATCAAAAAAAAGTAAACATCTCAGTGAAGCTCTGTGCCGGAGCTTGATTCGTTTTGCCATAACCACATGACTGCTTTGTATTCTGATTCAAATAACGCAAACCCATTTTTCATAAATGTATTCAGACTTATTTATTCATACTTTGTGTAAGTACAATGACATTTTTATTTTTTATTGCTTCATATGGTTTTCGTAGCACAAATTGATTTGTTAGATGAAATGGTTCAAAAACAGCTGGAACACGAAGACACCTTTCCCACCTTTGACCACAAGATATCATTAGTGTGCAACGTGCTGAAAAGCTACAGTTGAGGGGAAAGCCTTGGTGCTTCGTAAAGCTTCATTTCACCATCACTAGGAAAAATAGTTGAATGAAATGAGCTTTGAGTAGCAATTTACAGGAGATCTGGAGACAAAATGGCAAAAACTGCACAAAACTCGTAGAGGAAATTAAAAATTGATGACTTAATGTTGCCTTTAGGACTTCACTCCAAGATACTTTTTTGTAGGTATTGGGACATCACATAAATATACTGAATTTCGTACACGTACATGAAACGTAGTGGGAGGGGCGCTTCGTTGAAATTTTATAGGTGGCGCTATCGAGCCATTTTGCCACGCCCAATTCTGAAACCCATATCAGATGTAAATTTTCACCAGTTCTGATGCATGTGCAAAGTTTCATGAGTTTTCGAGCATGTTTAGGCCCTCAAAAATGCGATTCATTTAGGAGAAGAACGATAAGAAGAAACGGAGCAATTCCAAGAGGGTCCTAGCACCGCGGTGCTCGGGCCCTAAAAAAAATAAACATAATCCATTGGCCTCTTAGGACTTCCGTAGATTACTGATATAGTTGCCCGAAGGCACTGCAAATATGGCCACCGAGTGAACAGAATTTCCTTGAAAGGGACTTTGTTTGTATTAATCAGTTTCAGTCATGTGACATCAGCAGGACAAAGCATATGGAAGCCAGTTTCCATCACAGTTACACAAATATAAATATGCAAGTAAAAATAAATCAGAAACTTTTTTTTATTATACTGACTTAGATCTCAATAATAATGATAATAATAAGATACTTTTTAATAATAATGAGAAACTTTCCAAGCAGATATCAATCAAACTGCAAAATACTCGATATAGTCTTTAGTCTAACTAACTTTGTTTCTCAGCATATAAAGACTTGATTTCGGACCGTGATCTCAGACCGCGGTGATCTGGTTTCTCCACTGCATGGATCCTCATGTGCAGCTTCAAGTGACTTTTAACAGTGAAACTCTTCCCGCACTGATCACATGCATGCGGTTTTTCTCCAATGTGGATCCTCTCGTGTGTTTGCAGATGTGTTAATTGACTGAATCTCTTGTCACAGTGTGAACACTTGTAAGGTTTTTCTCCAGTGTGAATCATCTGATGCCGTTTTAAACAGTCCGGTGTAGTAAAAGTCTTTTCACACTCAAAGTGTCATGAAACAGAAACACAAGATCCAATTGCGAGTGAAAAGGAAGTCTTTATTAGACAACTCCAACTACATCAAGTAGAAGTGCAGGTAACCCGGCAGTGCAAAGTCTCAGCTCAGGCAGAGAATACTCCGAGCAGTCCAAACCCTCCAGGGAACAGGTAACCGGCGGGAATACACTCAGGAACGAGAAGGGCTGACAGAGAACCAGACAAGACATGAGCAACAACGATCTGACAACACTCCACAGAAACGTCAGCCAGATATAGGCAGTGCAGATGAGCTACACCTGTGACCGCTCTGATCAGCTCGTCAGGTGCGCGGTAACTAGGCAACACTGACGAGCACAAGGAGCGGATAACACACACACAGAATGAGCACACAGACCCATGAACCGTGACAGTACCCTCTCCCCTAAGAGCGCCTCCTGGCGCTCCCAGAGGAACTTACCTGACGATTGTAATCATCGATAAGAGAGTGATCCAATATGTCTCTTGCAGGCACCCAACTCCTCTCCTCTGGACCGTAAC